TATTGAATCTTTCAACGTCTAAGCCACAGCCAAATCTAAACCCAAACCTAGATTCTATCGAAATTTGGGTTTCAATTTTGCTATGATACATGTCTACCTATGACTGTTAGTGGCCCTAAAATGATAACTAATCTAGCACTAAATTATTAAAAACTAACTGGGAGAAAAAAGAGAAAGAATTCGTAACAAAGAAGAAAAAAACCACACGAATACAGTGCACAAAATTGAAAAAAAATTTAAATGCATGAAGCTGATATCGTTATCATTTCATCGGCTTAGTATTAGCTTGCCTTGAAGGCACACTAGTTGTGCTATCGAATTTTTTATTTTATCGACGGACACAGTATGACAATTAGCTGGAATAGATAGTATCGTACTCGCACAGAAAGATGAATAATGTCAGGACGGTATTTAAGAAGACACGTATGTCTTTTTAATTATTAAACAATTTAAACTCTCTATTTTCTACTTTATTTCCAATTTAGTAGACTGCTTGTTCTTTGGTCACGAGCGTCTCTTCTTAGACTTTTATTATAGCTTTCATATCGCGTGTTTTCTGCTCGTTGATTCCGAGTTATGCATTCAATAAATTTATATGACGTTTATTTTCTGAATCTCACTCGGGCATCTCAACCTTGAGCGATTATATATAGAGTAAAGAGCGAGTTTTCTCGCTTTTTTCTTTCATTTTTTTGTGAACCTTATCCGAATCAAGTAAATTTTGAATTGTAGGATGTAAGAGAAGTAGTTATCGTTGTAGAAGCAATGAAAAGTTGTGGCACAAAAAATCATTCTTTAATTAGATCTATGGTTTGGCTAACAGGATTCAAGTAAAAGTTACGCGATAGTCCTGGATAATACAGCATTTCAAATCATTAAGAACGTGGGTGGGTGTCGGTTAAGAGAAGGTACCCATCCACACCCACTCTGAGTCTCTAGATTCTTATTCTATGAGATTTCCTAAAATCTCTCTCGGTGCTCGATCAGTTCGTATTAAACGAGTTATTTCAACAGTTCTTTCGATCATTTCAATTGGTTTCCTGAGCTTGAGCTTATGTGCTGTTACTCTCGAACTGTATAGATCGCAAATAAGCATATTGGAGAAAAACTAAGTGTTGACCATTTTATTTGAGAAATCGCTCTATGTTAAATATGTGCTATGTGTTATCGAGAGAATATTTCACTAACAATTCAATTGTAGAAACGCGAGATGCAAAGAAGAGATGATCTACGTCTTCATCACCGTTTGCGACGATTTCTCATCAACTTGAATCTTTTTGAAACGGATTTGACTGATGAGCAAACGATCACCATTCAACGATGGTCAACTCGCATTTATATTATGCTTCTCTTTTCTACAATGACAATTTTGCTTGTCTACGATGCGTTAGCTGTTAAAACACAACAAATTGAAGTAAGAAATCCGTCTCTCAAAACATATTTGGAACTGCAAAATACCTACGACACGAATGTCATATGTCCATGCACTGAAATATCGGCTTCATATCGTTCATTCGCCGAAATAATTCCAACTTATCATGAAATATGTTCCAGTGTTTTCGTTTCACAAAAATGGATCGATATGCTCTTCAATGATCAGACGTCCATGCGCTATGTGTTAGATTTTCGTGCAACGGCCACCAATCAATTCCAAGTCTTACGAGAACTCTGCAAATTCTCACAAACGACTATCAATAATGATATTCAAGCATTCTATGATGATGTAATAATTTCAGCCTATTTATTAAGTGAGAATTTATTGAAAGCTGAAATGGTATCAATCATTACAGCCTTTCGAAAGAGTAGCACCACGAATTTTCTTCGTTCACTTTCATTTGTACGCATGTACGTATTGAGGAATCAATTCATATCTGGAATCCAAACCGCTTACATTTCACTCATTTACACAGAAAATGGACTAAACTGGTTTGGAAAGCAAGGCACAACTACATTTGGAAAACACGGAACTATTGCTCAATGCTCGTGCTCTGTATCTGCCACCTGCAATATGTGGTCTGCCTTCTACAACTATACGGACACTGACAGGGGTTTATTATTGAGTTGGTCAACATCCAGGATATCTCTTCAAGTAGCAAACTGGTTCGCAGGTTGTTCCCCTTTGGAATCGCTCCTTATTTCGTCACTCGGCAACAGTTTCTTGAATAATCAAAGTGCACTCGATACCATAGCAACATATTTCAATTGGTCGTCAAATTCACCGCCTACTGCTCTCAGCATACAAAAAGCAACAAATCAAACTGTCACGTTCAGTGATATTCTTGAGAACTTATTCATAGAGAATATCACGACAGAACTCAACTATTCACTTTATTTTGCACAATGTCGTCCAAGGTCATGTTTGTATACAATCAATCAACACTCGAGCTTTTTATACATATTTACTACTCTTCTTGGACTGTATGGAGGTCTATCGGTTGTTCTCCGATTACTAATTCCATATGTGGTCGGCTTCATAGTTCGATACTTGACTAAAAAACCGCCTCAAGATCCTTCTAACGATATCGGTAAGTTTGAATTGAGACTATATGAGTAAAACTTTCTATTTATATAGTGACAACAACGCAGACATGGAAACAACGAGCACAGACACTGATTAAACTAATATGGAATTCTCTTATTGATCTCAATCTATTCAAATCATCACTTCGACAACAACCATCGGATATCAAACAACAACTTTGGACAACACGGGTTTATATTACACTACTCATTGTTGCTCTTGCCATTTTAACACTTTACGGACTGTTGAGTTTCGAAATAAAACTGATTCAAGTGAATAAACCTTCATTTAGTACTGTGCAACAGTTACAAACTCAGTCTAAGACCAACTTAATTTCTTCTCTACAATGTCCATGTACACAATTAACGATACTCTATGATCAATTCGTTCAACTCCAGCCATTCTATCATCAAGTATGCTCGAGTGATTTCGTATTAGATCCTTGGAAAGATGATATCTATGATATGATAAACAGTTCACCGTCCCTAGGTGGTGGGATTTACTCGGACAAGCGTGATTTTTCAAACAGTCAGGTGCTATTTGTGCTCCTGGAAGCTTTGTGCATTTTTTCTAATGAAACAATTACCGATTCACTGAAGACGTTTGCACAAACTCAATTAGTCGGTACTCAATTACTTACAGCAGATGAATTTACAAATCAAGTGTTCTCTATTATCAATCAATTTCAACGAGAAACAAAAACCACCTTTTCGCATTTCCTTCAACTTCTGCGTAATATTACACATGTGAACCAAATTCTGGCTGGCGAAGGTAGCAATTTTAATATTAACATTACCGGTGCACCTAACTATACTACTTATTTGTCTATAGTGACTTACAACGATGATAATTTATCCAATATATGTTCGTGTACAAATGATTCAAGCTGCAAAACAAACTACGGCTTATTCGATAGAAATCCAGGATTTATCCCATTTTACTCTATACCTGAGTTCTATATTGCGTGCCAGCCAGTTGAATCACTTCTACAATCAACACTTAAATGTTTCTACGACGATCAAGATTGTTTGGAAATTATTATCAAGTTTTATAATATGTCAACTTATAACAACTTTACTCGGCTCAATTCTTCTTCTCATGCAAGTCGTTTTATGAGAAATAGCACAATTGGTTCTTTACTTTCAGAAATGTTTATTGAATCTTGGTCTGAATCTACAAACTATTCATCCTATTTTGCTCAATGTCAACCATCATCATGTTCTTATACGATTCCACAACGCAATAGTTTACTCGAAACATTAACAAGAATTGTCGGTCTGATCGGTGGACTGTCTGTCTCTCTACGCATTCTTGTTCCATTTCTAGTCATGGCCTTTATTGGAGTTATTCAGCGCTTGTGTTCACAACATCAGCAAACACTCACAGAAGCGAGTAAGAATATCTTTTATTTCTATTTAGAGCATTTTTAATGAAATAACTTTTAGCTTCTCCATGTTCACATGTTATGAGAGTCGGTACCAAGATTCGATATTGGTTTAAGAAAGTGAATGTATTCGAAGATACAAATCGTACAGTTACTATTCAACAGCAATGTGTAGCAACTCGTGTCTATTTACTTCTTCTCGTCATATCATTATTCATTGTCGTTCTCTACACTTCGCTGATCTATTATTTGAATACATTTACAATAACAAAACCATCTCTTGAACGATATCAACAGTTACAACAACGCTACGGATCAGATGCCGTTAGTTGTCCATGTTCTCGACCGTCTATTACGCATTCATCATTTATCACATTGCAATGCAACTTTCATCCAGTTTGTACGAGTCCTTTCACCTCTGACTCTTATCTACAAGATTTGTTTCAATTATACGATGGTTTGGATTCGACATATGCAACAATGAACGCATTCACTCTTCAAGGCACTATTTTCAGTCATTTTCAAGCTCTTGCTGCCTTGTGCAATTTGGTAAAAGATTTTGTAGATGATGCTCGACAAGAGTATCTTGTTTCCTCCATTATCTCTACCCTCATGATTGACTTCGATTTGTTCGAGAAAGAGACAAATACATCACTCATCGAATTCCGATCAACACTACCATATTCATTTTTAAATTCGCTTCAGATAATGCGTGGTCTAATGCAAGGTAGTGGATTTGTCTCCGCCTACTCGACAAACTGGTATTATATTACTAAGAAAATTACTCTAACGGCTATGCTTTATCTCAAACCACAATATTATGATAGTGACATGTGTAATTGTGCTACATCGTCAACATGTACTCAATCGTCGACACCTTACATTAAAGGGTATCTTGTTGGTTGCACTCCACTTGAATCACTCCTTCAAAGTACACTTGAATGTTTCTACGAAGAATCATGCATCGATCTTCTCACTACTTATTTGAATATGTCTTTATCCAACCAACTTGTACCATTGAACAAGAGCGAAACTCGTTTTTCTACAGACGATACCGTAAACTCTATTGTTGAACAAATGTTTGTTGAAACGTGTTCATCAAGTGTCTCATATAATCAATTTTTTGAACAATGTAAACCTGATTATTGTTCAGTGACAATATTCGAGCCAGGCAGTTTTATCATTGTTATCACCACGATTTTGGGTCTTTATGGTGGATTGACAACTTTTCTTAAACTCGTCGTTCCCTTCGTCGTCTTTTCAACTTATAAATTAATCAGAAAATATAAGCAAAGAGCACAAGTTGGAATCCAACAGGTAAACGTGTATTTATAAAGTTGTTGGGCTCGATAGAATGAAGAGTCTCGATATAAGAGTAGCTTGCGAGTGCGACTGGAGGGATACCAGGATAACTGTATTTTGTATACTTATCGACACAATGTAACTTATGTTTATTCTTTAGATTCCAGTGACTTCTTTGGATAATAACACGATGTCGGTTGACAATACTGATCATGGCGAACGTCTTTTCATCAAATCCAGCCAAAACTCAGATCTCAATCCAAACACTCTGGATCCAACAAATGTTTGCAGTGATGCCGTTGCTGTAGGATTGGCGTCTACAGATCCATCTATTTCGTATATCTCTTTCCTTTTTACTTCATTCATAGTTTAGAGTTGTTTTTCTTAGAACAAGTTTCCTTCCATCGAGACAACGCAATCTCAAGATCATTGTTGGATTTATACTGTTTATAATTGTAGTAGCCGCCATCATTATTCCATCTGTTTATCTTACTCGATACAAACAGAAAGAGTATCAGTCTGCGCTAACAGGTGAGATCTTCTTTATTATTACTTCTCTGATATTCGAGTTCGTTTACGCTTCTTCTTAGAAGAACGAGTCTTAAAATAAAAGACAAAACCAAGTTAGCTTCTAGATGCAAAAGTTGATTAGATCAGCTTTTCTAAGTCTGATAATAAAAAAATAATAAAAGATCGTAAATCACTCAAAAACTTGATATCATTCTATGTAATTTGGAAACTCTTGAGATGTTCTGTTGTTGATCATATTCTTAATGCCTAAATGATCTTGTATATATCATATCGAATCTTTGTCAAACATATTTTATTTCTTAGTTCTTTCAACAAGCACAAGCACAACAACGAGTGCCACTACAAGTATCACTACCATCAAGATAATCACTACTAGCAGAAATACGACAAGAAGTGCAAGTGCAAATGCAACAATCACTACGACAAGTAGCACGATATTTTCACCATTAACAGTTTCTACTCCAGCGGGTTCGTATATCAAGACTATCTAACTGTTTTTTTGCATGACGTTTTGATACAGCGAAAGTCAGAGCTTATGAATTTTTGATCATGACTTCTAAAATGAGACACCTCGCCTACTATCTCTTGAGAGTGTGGATGTAGTTATCACTTATAGATCACATCCATACCCTCACGAGATAACTTTAGAGTTCTTTAAATGAAAACGAATGATTTAAAAACAAACGTTATCATAAGTCGCTTTGCTATCAAATAATTAATCATCATTAAAGTTGAGTTATTAATGTCCAATAGACTCAGAATTCGTCTATATCATCAGTACATGTTGATTGATCTGCGAAGTTTGAAGAAAGCTTTTTTTTGTTTAATTTTCATTTTATTGGTTTCCTCTATTAGTTGTATCGTGTACAAATTTGACCTTCGCAACAGCAGTTTCATATCCAGTTGGAGCTAAACCTCAGATGTCTGCCATTGGTGATTTCAATGGCGATGGAATACTAGATCTTGTCGTTGTCAATAATGGTGGAAACACCGTGAGTGTGCTTCTTGGAGTCGGGAGTGGGCATTTCGGACCACAAATAACATTTTCAACTGGTCTTAATCCAAAATCGGCCACTGTCGGTGATTTCAATGGTGATGGCCGCTTAGATCTTGCCATTGTCAACTATGGTGATAACACCATGAGTGTATTACTTGGAACTGGTAGTGGAAGTTTTGGACCACAAATAATTTATTCAACTGGTTTTTATCCGTGCTGGATCGTTGTCGGAGACTTGAATGGTGATAGCCAATTAGATCTTGTTGTTGCCAACTACTACTCGAGCAATGTGGGTGTGTTTCTTGCGATTGGTAATGGAAATTTTGGACCACAAACAACATACCCCACTATCTTTGATCCAAGCTCCATTGCTATCGGTAATTTCAATGGTGATGCTCATTTAGATCTTGTCGTTATCAGCTCATTCTGGCCCACCATAAGTGTGCTACTTGGAACCGGCAGTGGGACTTTCCAACTGCAAACCACATTTTCAATTGATTTTACGCTGTACGGTGTCTCTGCCGGCGATTTTAACGGCGATGGTCGAATAGATCTTGTCGTCGCTAATGATCCACCTTCGCTACCCAATGTGGGTGTACTTCTTGGCAACGGTGATGGGTCTTTCGGATTACAAACCACGTTTACCGCTGGGGCTGATGGTGTAGTGACGTGGGTCACTATCGGTGATTTCAATGGTGATAGTATAACAGATTTTGCTGTCTCCAACCCTTATTCGATGCGCAGCGTTGCTGTGCTCCTTGGAACTGGTAATGGATCTTTTGTATTAAAAACTACAATTGCAACTGGATCTGATTCTTCACCAAATGGAATCGCCGTCGCGGATTTCAATAACGATGGTCGACTAGATCTTGCTGTTTGTGATTCCAATACAAAGAACCGTGTGAACATTTTTCTCAATACATGTACATGAAAGAGATCTTAATTCGCACTTTTTTGTTGTTGCTTGATGTTCTCAAACACTCAATGCTTTCAATATCTTATATAATTGCTTTTTATTAATCACTCACTCATCATTTCAAAAATATACTACCTTTATTTTAACCTGAATTATTCTTGTTTTTTGTGAATAAAGCTGAATACTGTCTAGAAATCTTCAAAGTAAGACAAAGTATGGCCAAGGTGATGAAATCAAAAAAACGAAAAACAGTGACATTTATGAAATACCATGTAATGAATAATGAGGCAATTTTCTAAAAAAAGTTAACCGAAATCTAATAACGAAAGGTGCACATGGAATTAAATCAATATATCAAAACGATATCAAACATTAATAAGCGAGGATATGTATTAAATTGATGAAGAAACAGATATGAAACACTAGCTAGTTTCTATATTAGTGGTACAACATCTAGTTTAACTGAAACAATCCCTAGCGAATGGTGCATAAATAAACATGGTGATGTTGTCAGTGAAATAATACCCAAAATAAGAGTGTAGATGTGAGTGTTACACTCCCCTCATACCCACACTGTCAAGATGTGATTACATGTATGATTCTTGTATTCTCTAATGTATAACGTTTAAACTTTACAACATAAATTTGCTTGCGCAGTTCACATTCAACTAGTACATGTTCATCTATTTAATTTTACTGATTGTTTTTCTTTACTTCATGAACGTTTCAATCAATTTCAAACACTTTATACTGAGATGTATTAGATTTAACGTTCCTCTATTAAAATCAAGAATAGAGCTTCTAATTTAATGAAAAAAAGTTCATTGTATTCTTGTTTTTCAGGTAAAAGAATCTAATTTAAAATGCTTTTTACTATCTTTTGATATTGGTACAATTGATTATGATAAATGAATTGCTTCATTTGTTTAACAATTGATTATTTCAGGACAAAAATAAGATTTATTAATAAAGTTCTAAGATATTTGCTTGTCTATTGATGTTGTAAATCGAATTCATTTACCGTCAAATGAAGATACTCAATATATATCATTATTTGATGAACGATCTTTTAAACATGAATTTTTACTTCAAATTACTTAATGGTTTCCATCATTGGAAAGATTAACTTTGCAATATAAATGAGAGATTTGTTCGATGATAATTAAGATTTATTAAACATTGAATATTCTCATCTTACCGTTGAAAAAACATTCTTGAAAAATAATATTTTTCTACGTGTCGATCATTATGGTATAGAAAGCGTGACAAAAACGTTTACAAAAAATACAACACGAATTAATTATATCAAAGTACATCGTTTAGCGCTTATTAGTAAATGTTGTAAACAATATTTTTCTCATACAAAAATATTATGATTATTATCAGTAAATTATTTTAATAAAACATAACTCAATCACTACAAAAATTGCAAATAAACATTAAAGAAAAAATATTTCTCATTGAAACATTCAAACTAGAGATAAGAAAACAATCTTTCTATTGTTTATGTTTAGTATCATCAAATTTTAGAATTGATTATTCTATTACTAAATTCATTGAATAGTCAGCACATGAAATAATGTTATGTGTATGTATTTTATAAATATTTTTAAAACCCAAAGTCAATGGATGCTTACAAGCAAAATAATAAATCTGTCAGTCTTATCGTTTTTTATTTTAATACATTAGAAAGTTACTGCTCGTAATTCCACATTGTTGTATAGTACTGTAATATCCTTTTTTTCAAATATTTCTCTCATATTCATAAAAAAAAGCATAAATATTTTCGAAATAAAATCTCTTATATCATCAAATTATAATATTTTTTTGTTATTGCATTTTAAATATAAATAACCTTGTGTTCTTGTCTATCAAATGAAAACAAGAATAATTCTATATCTAGATGCATACATATATTTGTTGTTACTTTGCCTCGTTTCTTTATATAACTTATATACATAACAAGATGTTAAATGTTCACGAAAAAAAAAA